AAAGAGTGCAAGAGGGAAAAGAATGTCATGGTCACCAGAACAACCACTGGCAACCAAAAATAGCCAACCGTTAAAATGCCTGGCCACTGGAGCCACTGATCCACGGGAGATAGATACCTGCGACAAAAGAATTGCGGGAGAGGGAGTGGGGTCGAGAGAGACAGAGGTAATGCAAGAAGAGGGGCCGTGGGGTAAATATGCCCGCTGTTGAGAGAGGAGAAATGTAGGCCGCGGATCGCGGGGTTGAAACTACAGCCACATTTTAACGGAATTTTAAAAAACGTCGCCGCGAAGGGAAAACCAAAGTCATGAATTTACGTTTTCGGGCCGTGCCCCGTGAAAAATGCGGCGCTAAACGGCCCTTTAAAGGTTGAGTTGACATCACTAGCTTTTTATATTCCCACCTTTGACCTACGTAATTTGTTTAGCTTGTATTACTCTTGAAAGTCTGATGATCCTGTTTTCTGCTGATTTTTAGTCCCTTTTTTATTAGTGAGTTATCCACTTTTTCCATCTTCAATGAAACATATCACGTTGAGTTTTGTATTGATTTATGCTGATACACTTCTGCATACCTGCTTACCATTTGTAATGTTGTCATTTTGAGAATCGTGCAGATGATCGGAGGAATTATCAAATTTTGCTCAACTACAAAGGAAGCGATATGAAGGAAAACCAATAAACAATACTATGATTGTCAGTTCACAAGTACCTTATTCATTAGAAATCTAACCCATATAAAGTTTTATTCTGCTCATAGTCTAGCATTAATTCTATCATTGCTTCAAACTTTTCCTTTGATGCTTGTTTACCTGCAATTTCTCGCGTCCTTGAGGATTTTGGTAGCCGAAAGGGATGTGGATCCTCTCCAATTATTATTTGATTATAGGGGGTAAATATCTGAAATTCAAGCTATCCATCCGAGTACTTCGAAAAAAATGTATTCCCAACCATCCAAAATTTATGGATGGGTGGGATTTGACAACTCTAACCTTATCATGCTAATTAGAGAGGATCAAAATCCATATGGTCATGTTTGAAATTAATTTTCTTATATTTTTTGTTCCTATTACTATGATCGACGTTTTTGACATAAACCCAACTATTCCTCTATCATGTTATGCCAAGTTGTGCTATGCCCTATTGATTTTTTAATTGATCGCATTGAGTTCACAATTAATTATTGTAACGTGATATTTGAATGAGAGTTTAATGCCTCATAATACTGCTCATTGTATTCTGCCGCATAGGATATTGATAGCAAGTATAATTATGGGCTGAGTCAGCCCCTCCTAATGCTGTTTACCTGAGAAAGTGAGTAGTATTATGCGGCCAATATGAAATGTTGCGACACATATTTCATTTTTAGCGTAATCGGTTCGTATGTTGAGTACAATGCCATCCAATTAGTGCAATAAGCAATAGCTATAGTAGCGCTTTGGTTTATGATATGCCCAAAATGGTTTGGTTATGCTGCTGGATACCTCGACCTCACGGTTGTTGTTTTGTGTTCATTAATCTAGTATATTTGGCTAATTTTGAGTTATCACTTTTGTTGCAATATGTTTTTCCTATGATGGAGTTTATGAGCTTAATCAAGCGTGTCTGACTTGGCATCATTGTACTTGTCTTCACTTTTGTTGCAATAGTTATCACTTCATTATTTCTCATTATCATTCCACCATCCTCTTTTTGGTCGACTTCAAGAGCTTGTCACATAAATTCTTCCTAGATTTGATTATTCTGCTTGTGAATTGGGTAAAGATCAGTATGTTGGGAATAGTGTTGTACTTATTAGCCCTATTGTGACTTAGGGTTTCGTGATTTATTCTCTTTATTAATGGTTATTATTGAGTCATTGGGGTGTATGTGTTAAAATATTGATTAGAAGCCGATGAGGTTTAAATTTTCACTTCATTAAAAGATATGCATAGTTGTAATGCTGCAAAATACATGTATTTTTTTTTTATAATTTTTTTTTTGAAAATAACATCTTTCATTACATCATATTATGTCGGTATACCTTTCAACAAAATGGAGTTATAGAATTGAAAAATCATCCCCTTACCGTTGTCAGGATACTCATGTTTCACTTGAATTCCCAATTTTGAGGATGTACAAGCCTAACTACATTTAATTTTATTAATTATTTTTTTCTATGTACTTCCCAACAATCAATTGCCCATTAACATCATTTCTTCGAAAATGCCTGTTTATTTTTCTTGGGTATTTGGTTGCCTTTTATTTTCATGTTTTTACCTTCTTCTTAATAAGATCTCTTCCATGTCACTCATATATTTCTTGCTAACTCTCAATCACAAAATAGATATGCATGTTTTGATCATCTACGGCTCTATTTAAACGCCTGTATCCTCTTGAATTAGCACCATATTTTTTCCTTTCTCATGCTTTTGCTTGCCTCTCATCTATACAGTTTACTCGTAGCAACCTCGACAACCTTGATAACCTTCTCCTTTAACTCAATTTCCAAATCATCCTGTCTTCTTTTTACTAGGAATCTCTCTGTGACTCTGTATCAAGATCTACAACTCTGTCACACTATGACCACATGAATGAAAAATTACATAATCATTATATTTACTCCTTCATGAGCTTTGGCCATTTATTTATTCACATATCACTCTTTGATCATGTCTTTATTAAAAATTACATAATCATTATATTTACTCCTTCATGAGCTTTGGCCATTTATTTATTCACATATGATCACTCTTTGATCATGTCTTTATTTGTCATCTCTATTCCCGTGATAAATCTAGAAGCATTTCAACACCCTCAATGGAAACATGCTATGAAATGTATGTTGATATGGATGTTTTAATTTTTGACAAATGGGAATTGGTTGCTCTTTCCCATGGGTTGAAGTAAAATTTCGCGTAGATGGGTTTTCATTATCAGGTTTTGTCTTAATGGCTCCATTGATCGGGCATGAATTCCCAAGGATTTATTACAAGTTTGCATGTCAATTATTTTGTAACTTTCTCCCTTGCTATCTGACTCGAGTCTGCGCAGCCTATTTTGCAAATTAATATTAATAACACCTTTTATAGTGTTTGAATGAGGCAACATTTATATGAAGAAACCTTCTAGGTATCATGCTTTGTAGGAAAGACATTACCACTTTGGAAGGATGATTATGGGCTTAAGTAGAGTTCACAAGCTTGGTTTGGTAAATTTCATAATGCACGTAACAATAGTTGGCCTTCGAAGAATCATTATATATTTTGTAAACCAATGCTAGATGTTTATAGAAATAATAGATTTTTTACCGAAGAGTGATAAATATGATTCTTTTTTAAAGGTAAAATACTATTTCTTTCTATAACTAAAGATTTGGGATACCTTGAATTTTTTCGTAGAGTTGAATTTGTTTGAAGGAAGAATGGTGTCTTATCTCAAAAAAAATGCCATTGACTTCTTGAAGAAATTGGCTTTTAGTTTGCAAATCAGTCAATTCATATATGATGATGTAATATTTGCTGAACTACTTAACTATCGAAGATTAGTTGAATTGTTTATTTATTTGGTAGGTACATGTTCGTATATTTCTTTCAGTGTTAGGGTCATAAGTTGAAATGCAAGCCCAATGATGAAAGCATTGGGATATTATTTTTTGTATTCTCAGATACATAAAGAAGGCTGTTAGAAGAGGACTATTGTGTGCCTGGCTCAAACACCTTAATATTGAAACATGCAGACGTTGCTGGATCTGTTGATGCCAAAAAAATCAATTTATGGTACCATATTTTTTGTGGGAGATAGTCACTTTAGAAGATTAGAATGAAACTGTTGTAGTGAGAGTTGGTGTTGAAGTGCAAAGGAACTAGGGCTGCAAACAAACCGAGCCAAGCCAAGGTTGACTTTGAGCCAGCTTGCTTGAATTCTATTCAAGCTTGGTTTGAGCTTGATTCGAGTATCACTATAGGATTGTCAAGTTAGTGTCAACTAATTTCAATGCTAATATGCTACAATTCGACACATCACTGTATTAGCGGTGGATTATATCACATATATAGTCCATGAAAACATGGGCAGCACAAATACAATTAGCATTGATTGTGGCCAAAGCAAATAAATTGCATTGATATTAGCATCTGACATTGTAGACTTTTGTCAGTTTTGATGTGACTGATGACAACGACGTAAATGTTAACTAAAGAATTTGCATTTATCATTTTTGGATGCAAACTTGGGTAGTCATTCACATCCACCATTTTCTTCGGAGAGTTTGATAATAAATATAAATGATAGGATTTTTACAATCTGCACAATAAATATCACAAATCTTTTACTAATTACTAGCACTATAACTATAACAAATAATATATTGTACAAACATCCATCGACAATAAAAGCAATTAGAATTTAACAAACACTATTTAAATATGCCTATGACATAAAATATATATACTGATGATAATGTCTAAATATTAAACAAGAAAAAAATACATAAGTTTGTTTGAGACATCATCATCAGACTCATTATCCTACATAATATATTGTACAAACATCCATGGACAATAAAAGCAATTAGAATTTAACAAACACTAATTAAATATGCCTATCTATACATAAAATATATATACTGATGATAATGTCTAAATATTAAACAAGAAAAAAATACATAAGTTTGTTTGAGACATCATCATCAGACTCATTATCCTCCTCATCTACCGAACTTAGAGGCCGCTTGCCACGACGATCTACAATTTGCTCCACTAATCGTGCTACAATGACCTTGACTTTCAGCTAGCCCTCATGTAGCCGAAGAAGCTCCTCAGTCATAACAGTGACATGCCAAACAACTTACTCATTCTATGATGATCATGACCTCGGTCCACCCTGAGCAGCTCAAGAGTACTCGGTCTCAAATGCAATACCTTTTGCTCTCAGATCGTACACTCTCCCATTCTTCTCTGTCTTTTGCCTATACATCTCAAAATCAGATTGCCCGGTGATAGATTGACTATTAGTACTAGCGACGGTTGGACTTTGGCTCCACATTTGGTTTTGTGTGTCTCGAATGTGCTCAAAATTTTCCTATATAATTAAAATCAAGAATTAATTACATTTTACATTAATACTGTAATAAAAATATGGAAAATCAAAGTTTTTTACATTTAAATGCCGAGAAAGGTTGGAGATCCGCTGTTGCGTCCTCAGGTATCGATGCATCCAAACATACAACTTTGCAGTGTTGGTCGATCAAGCTACTGAGCCTGTGGAAATCTGCAAATAATAAGTATTAGATAATTACATCATTGAATTGCGAAAATTTTAATGGATATTTCCAAATTTCGGTAGTGCTCTGTGTGAGTTAGATCTTCCAATGTGGAGTGGAGTCAATGGCTACCCCATTTATCACATTTTGTTGATTTGTTGCCCTCTTTGATAATCAAGAGATGCTCATGATCTAGTCAAGCGTACCCAAACCTCCTACCCAACCCGAACAGGTTGTTCTGCCTTCTTATGGGTCGTCATGACTATATTATCCAACTGATTACCAAGGTTGTGAGATCTGGATTTGACATAAAAACGAAAGAAGGAAATGTTCATGGTTCACTGATTCAACCAGGGTTGAAATGGATGATATAATAAATTATAAATTTATTTAAATATGACAAATGATATATTTTAAAAAATTGATTATTAAAATTTGAAATAAATACATCAATATTTAAATAATAAAAATCATAATAATTTTTAGAAATTATTTTAAAATTTAATAATTATTTACTGATTACCAAATACATCAATATTTAAATAATAAAAATCATG